AAACCTAGAAAAACAGGTTTCGATTCACATTATCTGGGGAGCCTTGTTTTGTCAAAGGACGGCACAAAAAAACAGGCAATACACAAGGGGGGAGGGTAAGCGAGAGAGAGAGTTTTTTGCCCTCTGTCAAAAAAAACCAAATCACTCGGGGCAGAGACTCTGGGGGGTCATTGTGTGGTACAGAGCGGAGCTCAGTCACTCCAAACAAGTAGAAAAGAGAGAAGAGTCAACAATTGATTTAAGGACGATTTAAGTGCAATGAAATACAATATTGTTGTTGTTGTTATTGTTGTTTTTATCCTGTAAAGCGTTTTGAGAAGCCACCTTTAAAGGCAATATATAAAAGCACTGATTCTTATGGAATGTGTTTTCTTTCTTCTTTTTTTCAGCATGGAATAAACCTATAACTTGATTCTTATGGATGTCCTGTTCCGCTGGGGATTAAAAAAAAATGTTTTTTTTAAATCGCGTATCTAAGGAAATAGCAGTATAACCTTGTTAATGCACAAACAGTGGCATGTTACATTATTAATTTGGTCTCCTCTTGCCAGAAAGCTCTAAATTGCATTTTGAGTGTGGTTTTTGACTTTTTAAAAATTGCAACCCATAAATAAAGCTGATACTGTTTAGACTTTTAATTATTTTAAACTGTATTACTGCAGCACAATGCACAATGCAACGTAAATTGCAAAAATGCACTTGGAATCTGTCCAAGCCCTACTTTGTCAGGCATTTTCTTTTACTGTAACGGACATAAAAACTCCCTTGCTTTTAACAGAGCGTTTCATAATTTCTACACGAAAATTATTTAAACTGCGACACTTATCATTCAACCGGAGCTCGAAATATCACAAGGATCCTCAAGAGCACAGCAAAGACTGTATTAAAAGAATCGCGTATCTAAAGAAATTAATAAGATATAATTATATTTGTGTACTGTGACAGGGCTGTGTAGGGCTGTTTCACCTTTCTCTTCATGTGACTCTATTCAAAAGCCATCTAGCAAAGAGGGGATGAGAAGAGTGACAAACTAGTATACTTTAGATCTTTTTTTCTGAACCGGGGAATATCTGATCATGTTTCTCTATAACAATAATTAAAAACATTATTTTACATATCACCTTTATGTGATATTACCTTAAGAACAGCACATACAATACAAGGGTTAATTGCACAATGGACAGCGCAAAGAAATGTAAAATAGTCTTCTTTAGGTGTGAGGGCAGGAGTGGATCGCAGCAACAGGACACGTGTATCCAGAGAGCGAGTGATCAGAAAAAGGAACAGCTGTTACGCCCAGGTTTGTTCGGAAAACTGCTAAGCCCGTCAAAAAACAGGAACTGATCGATGCAATCTATAAATTCTGGGAGGAAGAACTGACTATATCCTCTCTATCCTTTAAAATAAACTATTATTCCACAATGCAGGGTATTACATAGCCAGTATCACAGGCCAGTTCACAGGTTTGCATGCATAATTTAATTT